AGTAGTCAGCAGTAACAGTTTCTTCGGGTACAGCACCTCATAGTACGCAACACCCTTTTGATCCCAGCGTTAAATGCACACACAACAGTACTTTTTGACAATGGACATTCCGCTTTCGTAGCAAACTCTCGAGTGAAGAGAAACCATTTCAGCAGGTTCGTTCAGATGAAGCTTGTCCTCCATAAAAGCATCCGGTGGGCTTTAATGCCAATTTCTTGGAATCAAACAGCAGGAGAGGCCCCCGTGGAAACGGCTTACCACGTTCCATGACATCAGCCTGAGAGCAACGTGATTTTGGAGGAAAACTGATCCGTCTGCCCTTAAGTAGGTAGCCAATACCCTACCTTACAAAATATGTCAGCTTTCACCGGTAAATCTCTAACTGGTTCGCGCAACGGCCCTTGGAATTCGACGGCGGAAATTAATGCACACACCTAACACCATTTGTTATTCTTCAATTAAAGTAAAAAGAGGTCATGTATGCGCGCAGAAAACAGAAAGGTATGTGGCAACCCCCTCATCCAAAACTATCTCTTGAAGGTTGTGATCCTATAACACCTCTAACAAAATCCAACAGCCAAACGACCGTGCATCCAGTTGACGGGTTCTCTCCTAATGAAACCATCTATATGCTGCCATTAAAGATTTCCATCTAACGTCTGTTGATAGATTCCCTAAAGCGTCGTGACTAAGAATACGAGCAGATAATGAAAGCAAGCGAATGTAGTTAGCTAATAACAAGCGAATAAAAAGCTTCGCTTGCCTCTCGCTCTAACTCGCAAGGTCTGCCTTTTACAGCAATTTCCGCCTGAAGTTATTACTGTAATATTTGTGGGCGTTCCCAAGGGTACTGTAGTTTCATACTGTAGACTCCGCCCAAAACGAACCTCTTGGCGGCGAACTTCAAATGTGTTATTTGTTCGTCGTCTTTTGTCAATTCTGTGAGCTTGTTCAACCAACGGTCCACCTTAATTTCAACAAAACGGTACTGGTTTGGGATTTATATGATCTGATGTTAAAAAACTTAATATAAACTTGAAATAAACGTCAAACCTTCTGAATACTCCAGTCTCCTTTGCTAACTCGGTTCAATTTATTTTTCTCGATCGCATCGCGGATCGTTTTGGAAACATCTCCACCATTTTTGTACGAATCAAGGAGTTCATCCGCAGGCAGATCGAATATCTGCGAGCAGTTAATTTATATGAAAGCCTTTTGTGAATAAGTTTTATAGATTACTTATTCTCTACAACTTTAACGTACGATAGGCAGGATGGCAAATAAACAGCAAGATCTGCCCAATTATTAAATTGCGAAACATCCCTTCACAAAAACCTTCAAGTGCAGCCAACGCTGCTGCCAGAGAATGATTAATACGCATTGTAATAAATTGTTATGTGTTGCCAATGCTTGACGGACGGAATCTCGAGTGTGCTATCTGCACAAGCAGTACTCCCTTGGTCAAGGACCAATGGGCACGTGATAATGGAGAGAAGAAAAGGGGAAGAAGAAGAGTAAGTAGAGGACATTGGCGTTTTCAAATATGTGAGAAAGGCTAGACGATATAGCAGTAATAAAACAACCTCACTTCATAACAAGTAGGGAATTACGTAGACTGAGTACGATGGGAATGGGACGTCAACTGGCTACGTTGGGAATGGGAAAGTTATCGATACGGGACAGAGGAATCAACGATGTCGGGATGATACAGGATGTGACTCTGAGAACAGAAAAGAAACAATCCAAATCTTCCGGATTAATTATATCTACCCGCCGACCACTCCCTCTTCATCTCTCCCTACCATTTCTTCTCTACACCCCCAGTCTTCAGAAAAAAGAATTGGGCTTCGGTTCGAGTATACTAAAGAAGGCCAGCGACTGGTTTCTTGTTTCCCCCTTGTATTGTTTGTTGCCTGAATTTTATGCTTTATGCACACTTCCTTGCATGTTTTTGATAGTGACGTGAAATAAAAGTATAAATAAATCTAAAGCCTGGAATACATGGGAAATAATGACTGGAAACAAAGAGGCAGACAGGAAGTGAAAAGCTGAAATTTATTTGTGATTTCAGGTGCTCAGGTATCAATAAAATGGAGTTGAATTTCAGAGTGCATAGTATTTACCCACTCAAGAGGTACCAACTGGTACCAATTGGAAAGAAAAACTTGACGCAAGGTCACTCGTGTCCTGATTTCGTTCCTGTTCTCTCTGCGATCGCCTTTTCCGGTGTGTCTGCTGTTATCATTGACTTTTTTTTACCTCAGTACCCCTACCCTTGAACCCACCACCCGTCAGCAATTTTGTAACTGCAATCATCCACGACACCTCTCTATAAAAAAAAGCATTCAGAATCAGCAATTTTTTGGCCGATTTGTGAACTACCGTGCGTACTTGCTGCTCCCAAAGTAACTGATTCCAAGTAATTTTTGTTCACCCGTCCCAAAACGAGTTTAGTGGCCGAATTCTGACCGAAATTGCTACCCCGAAGTCGTATAAATGATGAAGCGAGACCCATAATTTCTATCGCATTTCATAGAAGCGCTGAACACGAGCAAGCAGTTGGAGTGTTGCAGAATGAGATCGTCTGAGAACAGACATAACAGAGAAAGGTTCCCTAGTGGAATCCATCAGTTCGCTAATAGAACACTTGCGAAGTTATCTATAAGTAGGGCTCGTGAAATGTTAAGATGGACTGTCATCGTGAAAAAGAGTGACAATAAGAGTGACGAAAAATATTTAAGAAAATTTCGGGAAAGAGGATTAGAAACGTGTGGGGGATTCGACACGGAAAATAGCTCAATCTAGAAGTAAAGAGAAGAGACTTCGCGCTTCTCGTAACAAGACAGTGTCAAACCTGATCACAAATATGTTGACTCGAAGCCATGATCCGCTTACATTGGGCTGGTTCCAATCAGCCCACAAAGCAGAGAATCCCAAATTATAACCCACCGTTGCAAAATGTTTGATTATCTGTTTCTCCTTGATGTTATAGACCCTTTGATCGACACCAGGAAGTAGTAGGCGTACCAGAGTCAGCATGTCCCCATCGTAATCATCTGTAATCTTTTACTTGATAACTTCTTATAAAAATGACCCTAGAAGGGAACAAAGCTAAGATTTGTCTTGAACAACCTCTTGTAATGAACATTTTCACTGCCGACGACTTATCTGTGTACTTCGACACTGAAGCTATGACATCGCATAATTTTGTAAACTGAATAGATCAGAATAAGGTGGAATATAACTTAATATTCATTACGAATGTACCTTATTGAACGAGTTGTATTTCGATTCTTCATCTGGTTCCCCACCCGATTTTGCGGCCCCATTACTGTCGTTCTTTCCACCCTTCTTATTTCCGTCCGATTTGTCTTTTTCTTTCGATTTCTTTGGCGTTTTCTCCTTTTCCTTCGAGTCTTTATCAGAAGCTTTCTTGGAACTACTGGGAGCCTGAAAAAGACCCATGAATGGGGAACCAATGTAGTGTCAGCATACTCCCCGCGGGGAGACGGGCAGTAGGAACGGTTTCGGGTAATCGATCCGCCGCACGCGGCTGTCGCGGGGCATAGCCTCGTTATAACAGTTCTAGCATTATTCATACAGCTCAATACATGCAATTATTATTTTAGGCATGATTCTACTGTTATTTCTTTTGATCTTATATTTCTTACTCTCTGCTGCATTCTGCTACATTCCTTTGCGCGCGGTCTCTCTCGCCGCGACGCGACTATTTCGTTCCTACTACACCACACTCCTCCCCTTGTAGACCCTTACTTCTACCACTGATTGTTCGGGAGGGGACAAGTCACGATGCCATGAAAGTGTACTAGCATGAACTCCAGATGAACCTTTCTTTCCATCTATCACCATGTCGAATTCTTCACTAGCCTGGGACTCATTTGGGAATTGGGTTAGGATTTCTCGCAATGGTAATGGTGTTAGGTGACCTATCGCGGGAATGTCTTATCTTGAAACATCATGCAAACTAAGTGGTCAGTAAGAATCTGTAAAAACGTCTAAAAATAAACACTCAGCTATCCACCTTTGCAGAAGAGCCCGTCTCTTCCGCCTTCTTCTTCGGTGTGCGTTTTGCTGCTCCTCCCCCTTCTTTATTTGCTCGCA